GGAAGCCCATAGCAGGGCGCTGGGGGAACCGGCGGGTGGACAGCCTGCTTCCAGCCTGGGGGTGCCGAGTCCTAAGAGGCTGAAGCACTTCTACTCCCCCGTGTATATGCTGCCGCCTAAGCAGGGCTGGGGAGGCTGGGAGGGAGCCGGGGGGCTGTGGGAGCTGGGGGCGCTGAGAGGCTGGGGGGCTGATGGGGCTGGTGGGGCTGGTGGGCTGGGGGGAGCTGGGGGACTATAGGAGCTGGGGGGCTGTAGGAGCTGGGGGGGCTGTAGGAGCTGGGGGGGCTGATGGGGTTGATGGGGCTGGCGGGGCTGAGGGGAGCTGGGGGTTCTGGGAGGACTGGGGCACTGGCTGGCTATGGGAGCTGGGGGACTAGGGGGACTGTGGGGGGTGGGGAACCTGAGGGGCCTGGGGGACTGGGGGGAGCTGGCAGGGCTGGCAGGGGCTGTGGGGGCTGTGGAGGCCTGGGGGACTAGGGGACTGGGGGAGCTGGGGGTTCTGGGAGGACTGAGGGGGCTGGGGGTGCTGGTGGGGCTGGGGGGCCGATGGGGCTGGAGGGGCTGTGGGTGCTGGGGGTGCTGGTGGGGCTGGGGGTTCTGGGGGCACTGGGGGTTCTGGGGGAGCCAGGGGGCTCGGGTGGCTGGTGGCCGTCCGCAGCCGCAGACCTCACGCCCCCGAGCTCTCTGGTCAGGGGCCGAAGCGGAGCCTTTCCACCTGCCGGGGCCTCCAGCCCTTCTGTGCCCCCCACTGCCTCCGCAGGAATCCTGGCGCCCCGCAGCCCTCGGGCCTCCCAGAGTGGCGTGGTCAGGCGGCCTGGGTTAGGGGACGAGGGGAGCGGGAGTCTGGGCTCTCCGAGGAGGGGCGGCGGGCGGCGGGCGGCGGGCGGCCGTGGCAGGGGCGGGCAGGCCGGGGCTGTGCGCAGCCTGCTTCGCTGGAGCCCTCACCCGGGATCTCAGATCAGATGCGGCCCCTTGAGGCACAGACGCCGGGTCGGGAACTCGTCTCGGGCTGGGCATCAGGACCTTCATGTCGGGGTGGACCCCTGTCTTGCCAGGGGCGCACGGTCTCCTGTGATTCCGGGCCCGCCGAGAAGGGGCCTTCCCTCGTCTGCAGGGCCCGGAGCCCCGAGCGCGGGCACCAGGCTGGCACGTCCTTGGGCCGCACGGGCTCCCTGCTCAGCAGCCGTCCAAGGCACACGGGGTGTCTTACGTCCGGGAACCCAAACGGCGGAGAGCCAGCAGTGCTCCCAGCCCAAGGTGGCAGGAGTGGGTCTTACCCACGAGGTCACCCAGTGCCACGTGATCGAAGCCGTCGGCTTCTCCCTCAGTGTTGGAAGGTCTGGTCTGGCTCTGCGATGCGATTTCAGCGACCCAGACACCTCTCCAGGTCCCCGCGGAAGCGCTCCCCTGCCTGTGGGTGGCCGAGGATGAGCTCACTTGTCCCCTGGCTCCGAAGACATTTCAGGGAAGCGTGGGAGGGCGACAGTCGCCGGCTCCGGCTCCCAGGGGCGAAGACAGAAACAGCTAAAGAGCCGGTGAGAGTTTATTGCAAAAATGACGCAGCCGACAAGGAAATTTGGTTATTTCTGCAGCACGTGGCATTTTATGACCATCGTCGGCATGACCCCTGATTCTACGGACACTAAGGATGTTGACGCTTCTGGCCATTTTACACGATTTCTGAAACACGCGTGTCAGTAGCCTGTGTGCGGACCGTACCGGCGCAGCGTAAAGAAGATTTAGCAAACTTGTGACTTCACCGTTTCCCCTGAAACGTCACGTGTCAGAGAAGCCTGATTAGTTTGACGTCTGTGTTTTTAGAATGAGAAATGACAAATCTCCCCCCCCCGCCCCCACCCCAGGACCCTCTGAAAACCCCAGAGTTCGTTTGAGGTCAAAAAGACTCTATTAGATTTGACTTGGGGAAGTTTGTAAAACATGTCAGAAGGTTTAAAACACTCGATTAAATAATAATAGTAATAAATAAAACACTCTATTAAATAAGATTGCAGATCACAACGCTTTTATACAATATATTTAACCAAAGGAACAAAGATTTAGGAAGCACAGTACTTGAGGGGGAAAAAATATTCTGTTCTTTGAATACTGAAAAAGCTCTGTTTTAAAAGTGATCTAAGACCTGATCAAGACAATATGAAACACGGGAAATTATTTTGCTAAGTCACAGAATCTTTGTTCTCTAGGTAGATTACTCAAAAGGTATTTAAAAAAAAATAACCTTTTATGACCTTTTTTCATGAATATGCCATTTCAGAATTTTTAGAGATCCGGTTTTTTTTTTTCATAGCACGGTTTTTCTCAATGTGGCAAATGCAGGTCTCGTAACAGACCCAAGTCTCTTCAGCCTCTCTACAGCCAAACTAATACAAACCTAAACTTACGTATAATAACGAACATTTCAGTACTTTATCTAATTTGGAAATGATCTAGATTTTTAACAAATACCTATTAGTTAACGTGACTTACTATAATTCTAAGGCTTCAAGTTACCTAGAAAACTATTCCTAAGTTCATTTACTTTTATCCTACTTATATCTATTGAATTTGGGTGTTTTTTTTTTTTTAACAATTATGCATGGATCACTTCCGAAAATTTCATGAGACATTAAACAGCTACACGTCATCTTAAGTCTTTTTTTTTTTTTTTCTGGTGCATTTGGGAGCATGGAGATAAAATGAGCTTATTTGACTAGTAAACCCCGGGGAGAAAGCTGTCCGTGTGGACGACTCTGAGGACTCCCCGTTCTAACTAAGCAGCGAACTTAGACCAGCTCGTGTCTCCCGAGGACGATCCTCCATCAGAGGACTTGGGACACGCGCGATTCGGGTCCGTGTTTCTGGGAGATTCACAAATACCTTATGCAACACCCGCTTCCCGCGCCCATGGAGCAGCGCTGAGCACGGGCAGGCAGCCCCTCGGAGGCGGGGGGGGGGGGGGTGGGGCGGGGAGGGCAGCGGGAGCAGAGTGCGTCCCTGGGACGTGAGGTCCCCTGTCCCGTGTCCCCCCAGCACCGTCTACCGGTCCCTGTGGGAAGCGCTCCTCAGGGTGTCCCTTGTCCGCGGTTCCCATCGCTCCTTCAGGAGTCCAGTCTCCCCGGAGGTTCGCGTGGCAGTGAGCGCCCTCAGAAGGAACCTGCATTTTCTTCAAGGAGTTTTGGGACGTATTTTCCTATTTTCGGGGATTTGGGATCATTTTTAAGTTCTTCTTTTCCCTTTTTCTCCTTAACCACCTTTTTGTGGTGGGGGCTCAAATAAGGGGGGGCGTGAGGGGGCCTGGTCACAGGGAGCTGGGCCGTGCACCCAGCCTGCACCACCTCCAGCACCAGGGTCGGGGGCACGGGGTCAGGTGCACTTTGTCAGGGGGCACAGGGTCAGGGGCACAGAGTTGGGGGGCACGGGGTCAGGGACACAGAGTTGGGGGGCACGGGGTCAGGGACACAGGGTCAGGGACATAGGGTCCGGGACACAAGGTGGGGGCACAGTGTCGGGGGCACAGGGTTGGGGGCACAGGGTTGGGGGGCACGGGGTCGGGGCACAGGTCCAGGTCGGGGCACAGGTCAGGGCAGGTTTACCGCGGGCCTGACCCTCACCCTCGTCTCCGTCTTACTGAGGCGGCTCTAGGAGCAGAGACATGCTCCGTGGCCTCTGGTGGGTTCACCTGTCGCGGGGGCTCCGCCGGGACGTTGTTTAGGATGAGAGCTCCCTCGACAGTCCTTCTAGGTGCAAAGTCTGAATCTAGAGGTGCACCTGTCTTGACGGACTTGACATCAACCACCCATTTTATGAGCCTGAGGGCAGAGCCCGCTTGGCTGGACTCAGTGCCCCCCCAGGCCCCCGACCCCGCGCTGAGCTCCCCGCAGACAGGCAGGAGGGACCGGCGCCCCCGCCTCCCAGCCCCCAGCAACCGCGAGCCCTTCGGAGCCGCTTCAGGTGCGCGGGGCCGCGAGGACGGTCGCTCCCCGCAGGTTCTGCGCACAGACTGCACCCCGTATCGGCGTCTTGGGGTTTCCCGGCCTCCCGCGTTGGAAGCCGGTCTGTGGGATGTCACGGTTGCTTGGAACCTGTTAAAAGCCGTTTGCTCGGCTGCGATGAACGTCTTCTGGGAAATCACCTTCATTTCTTCGGACGCGTCTGCGGGTGCGGGGACGTGGGCTTCACCCAGCAGGGTTGGTTTGGCCCAGACTCCGATGCTCATTGAGACTTCTGGTCGGGCCCAGGCCCCCGGGACTGTCTCCCGCCCACCTCGCGTTCCAGAATCTTCCACCTTCACCCCTGCCCCACTTCCTTTCGGAGACCTGTGTCCGGTCGCGAGCGATGCCCGTCGGCCCCTGGGGCCTGCCCCAGCCGGGTCTGCGCTGCTTCTGTGCGTCTGTGTCCCTCCAGCCTGACGCAGACGCTTAGCCAGCTGGGCCCTCCAGGCGGCCCCCTCTGAGCACTTTTAGCCAAATCAGACTTCTATGCAAATTGGTGAGATTTTTATTGAATGTCATATTTTCTTGCATAATTCCAAGTATGAATTTTGAGTTTTTTAGCCAACTATTTTGAAAAACTAGCGTGAGCACCGCCGGCATCGCTAATGGACGTTGCAGGGCGGTGCCCCAGGGGATTGGCACGGAAGCGCCGAGCAGGGACCCTGTCATCACCGGAGGGGCCCCGTTGCAAAGGGGACGGTGGGCCGGGGTTGTTGAGGACAGCAGCTCTCACACACGGGGACTTCCCGGGTGCAGGGCTCTGGCTGAGGGGTCTTCCTCTGCCCCCCAGCAGCCCTCCCAGTCAGCTGCTGCTCCGAGCCCCGGGAAGGGGTGTCAGGTCATCGCGGCTGAGGGGCCTGGGCCCCCGCGCCATGCTCTTGGCTGGGTCCTGCCTGCTTACAAAGGCGCCTTGCACCAGGCCTTGCAGCCCTTTCCGAGTCACGTCTGCGCGGCCAGGGTCAGGGGCCGGCGTGCTGGCACCTACGCTGAGTTCCCTGTGCCCTCCAGGTGTGCATCGTGCAGAAGAGGGACACGGAGAAGATGTACGCCATGAAGTACATGAACAAACAGCAGTGCATTGAGCGGGACGAGGTGCGCAACGTGTTCCGGGAGCTGGAGATCCTGCAGGAGATCGAGCATGTCTTCCTGGTGAACCTATGGTGGGTGACCCGCCGCCCTTCCTGCCCCTGGCCCCCCTCGTGCTCCCTCCTCCCTTGCCTCCGGGACGCCCACAACCTGTCCCCGACTCCCCAGCCACTCACGTCCGGTTCCCGGGGCCAGAGCTGCCGGTTGTGCAGGGCGCCCTGTGTGAGTGCAGGTCTGCCCAAGCACAGGGAGGCCGGGCGTCCCCACAAAGGAGGCCTGTGGCCCTTGGAGTCTCTGGCACTGAAGCCCTTGGGGAAGGTTTTGGGGCCTGAGCTCCTCCATGCAGTGGGCCCCACGACCACCCCTGGAGAGGAAGGACCCCATAAGCTGCAGCGAGATCACCGTCCTCCTTCCTCCCTGGGGTCCTGCTTCGCAGGGTCCTCCCTGAATCCTCCCTGACAGCGTCCCGTCCCGGGCTCTGGGCTCCCTGATGGGCTCCCAGACTGGGGGGCGTTCCCAGGGGCCCGAGGTGGGCACAGCGGTGCAGGCAGCTGGGGAGGCGTGTGACAGACGCGTCTGGTCCTGGTGGCACCGCCTCAGGAAGACTTACACATCCCCAGGATGAGCCGAGGGTCCATTAGCTGAACACGGAAGGAGAGGCGGCCCAACCAGCATGTGGGGACAGACGCGTGGGACAGGGCGTTGTGGAGAGTGACCTGGTGCCAGCTCCTCCAGGGGACACACTCGGGGCTGAAGGTCCCCCTTGGGTCATTTACCTGGGGCCACCGCAGGTGCGGGAGGCACTTCACCGCAGCAGCTCAGCTCTGCGCATGGGGACGTGGTCCTGCCTGGTTGTGCAGGAGGAAGGAGCTGGGGGGCGGGCCCTGCCCGGGGAGTAGAGGGAAGGGAGCAAGGTGCTGAGCCAGGCCTGCAGGGCAGTGGAGCCCGGGGCTGCCCAGGCCTCCTCCTCCTCCTCACCCCTGCACGTGGCTCCTGGGCTCCCTCACTGGCCCCAGGGCCCTCCGGTTGTCCAGGCCCCACGCAAGCAGACTGGCAGGGCCACACCCTGTCCCTGAGCTCCATGGGGTGTGCTCAGCATCCTGGGACTGTGGTTCTAACCTTACACCTGCCCCCTCCGCCCGACGGCCAGGGTGGGTCAGAGCCCTCGTCCTCAATAGCGGTGACTGCCCCCCAGGGTGGTAGTTGAGCGGGTGGGGGAGAAACGACCTCACTGAAGCGGGGCCTGCTTGCAGCCTCACGGGAACGGGCTGCCATCTGTGGTTGACCCTCAGCCATGGCACTGGCACGGGGCTGGCCAGGAAGGAAGGCCCAGGATTTCCCACCTTGGGGGCCTCAGCTCTCCCCAGTTCCTCTGCCTGGTGGCCCCCAGCCCCCCCCCCCGGTGGACTCCTCCACCCTGCTGCACACAGGGGTGAGAGCAGCCCCCAGTGCAAACTACAGATGCATCTATACCCACAAAGCGCTCCACATAGGCGACTCCGGATGTGAGGCATCGTTAGAGTTAACGTCTTCCTGTCGTCCTGCAGCCAGTACCGCCCCCCAGGCTGACCTGCCCCCACCGGCCGCCGGGGAGCCGGGCAGTCCGGGCTGCTGCAACCTCTCCTCCCAGTGTGAGAGGCCATCTGCTCTCGTCCACTGCTCCCCAGCACTCCTCCGGGTCCTCGGGCCCTCGGGCCTGGCGGGCCAAGTCTCTTTGCTCTCCGGCCCCATATTCCACTCCCCCGGCCACCGGCTCCTGAGATGAGGGGCAGGGAGGCTTCTGGTGGGCAGGAAGGGGAACAGCACATGAAAGAGCAAATCCGTTGTAACGTTATTCCTAAAAGAGTCAGTTGCTTAACAATGAGCATTACCTCGGAGAGCTCACACAGGAAGTTACTAAGTGGAAGGAGGTCTTTGTTTTTTTTTATTTTTTTTTAAAGATTTTTAAAAATTTATTCATTCATGAAAGACACACACAGAGACAGAGAGAGAGAGAGAGAGAGAGAGACAGAGACAGAGACACAGGCAGAGGGAGAAGCAGGCTCCATGCTGGGAGTCTGATGGGGGACTCGATCCCGGGACTCCAGGATCACACCCTGGGCCGAAGGCAGGCGCCAAACCGCTGAGCCACCCAGGGATCCCCAGAAGGAGGACTTTAAACTGTTGTTTCATTACTGCCGTCATCCTCATCATCATCACTGTCATTTTCTTTATCATCTTCATCACCATCACCATCATCACCATCACCATCATCATCGTCATCACCACCACCATAACCACCATCACCTCCATCATCACCATCACCATCACCATCACCGTCACCATCATCACCATCATCATCGTCGTCATCACCACCACCATAACCACCGTCACCGTCACCGTCACCATCACCACTGTTGCTGGAAGCCGGCCCCTTGCCCAGCACTGCCTGAACATTTTGCCTTGTGGCCTCCATTCCTTAACACCCCTCCACGGCAGATGTTTTTATCCCTTTCTGGAGAAGAGGAGCAGCAGGGAAATGGCCAAAGGCAATGCTGTGTCCTCTCCCCACTGGCCGCTCCTGCATCTCGGCCCCTCGCTGGGCTGCCTCCCATCAGGACAGGCTGCTCTGTCTTTCCTGAGGGTCCTGGCTCAGAGCAGCTCCTGAGTAGCGGTAGAGTCAGTGCCTTGGGCAGGGCCCTGCTCCCGGGGAGTGACCGTGGGAGGCGAGGAGGGTGCCCAGGCTCTTAGATGGGGGGGGGGGAGGTCATCGGGTGTGACAGGAGCTGTGACCCCGGCTCCCTAGCACGCATGTGCCATGTTCTCCCCTGGCACCCATAGGTACTCCTTCCAGGATGAGGAGGACATGTTCATGGTGGTGGACCTGCTTCTGGGCGGAGACCTGCGCTACCACCTGCAGCAGAACGTCCAGTTCTCCGAGGACACGGTGAGGCTGTACATCTGCGAGATGGCGCTGGCCCTCGACTACCTGCGCAGTCAGCACATTATCCACAGGTGTGTGCACACCTGCCGGTGGGGCGCCTGCCTGGGCCAGTCCACTTGCAAGGCGGCCACATTCCTGCAGAACCCGGACAGGCTCCTGCGTGCTCTGGCCCCCCCTTGCCTACACACCTGCCCCCAGGTGTGGCACCTGGGCCAGTCAGTGCCCCACAGCTGAGCACCCGATGTCCACCGGGGGGTGGATCCCATGTGAGCAGCCCCAGGTGGGCCAGGATGGGGTCCCTGGTCTGTCCAGCCTCTGATCCCTGCCGCCCCTGCAGTCCACCTGCTCCTCTGCCGCGCTCCAGGGGAACTGAAGTAAACTTAACATTAGCCAAGAGCAGATGAGATTAGGATAAAGTTGTATCCGCAGAACAACAGGTACACAGGTGTGTTATCAAGTCAGATAGGTGGGCTCTGTGTGTTTGTGTTACGTGGCCTCGGCTCAGGCACTGAGCAGACACTGAGCACCTCCGGGTGAGGCCAGGTAAGGCCCAAGGCCAGGTGGCCGACAGCAGGGACCCAAATCGTCAGTCCTGCGCAGCCCCAGGGCTCTGGGGGAGGGGCCAGCCTGCAGGTCCCGGCGAGGGGGCTCGGGCACCGCGTGTCCAGCACGTTCTCCCGTCTGGCCTCAGCAGGTGGGGGGCGAGAGGCGGCCGTGACCCCCGGAGCAGAGTAGCTGCCTTCACCTGGCTCCGTCAGAATGTTGCCGGGTGGCACCTTCTCAAGGCCCACGCGGGTCTCTGGGGCCTCCGCCTTGAGTGGGGAGGGGCCCTCGGGGGACTCCCGCCCTGCCGGGGACCACGAGGGATGACCGGGGCTCCCGGACCATGTCCCCGCTTCCTGCTTCCTCAACAGGGACGTCAAGCCTGACAACATCCTGCTGGATGAGCAAGGTGAGCCGAGGCCGCGTGAGGCTGGAAGTGGGTGCGCCCCGCCCGCGGCACGCGCCTCCAGTCCTTGGACACGAGCAGTGTCTTCTCTTCTCGCAGGACACGCGCACCTGACCGACTTCAACATCGCCACCATCATAAAGGACGGGGAGAGAGCCACCGCGCTGGCCGGGACCAAGCCATACATGGGTGAGCCGCGGCCGCCGCCTGCTGCGGGGTCAGGCCTGGGGGCCCAGGCGGTGTGGGGCGGGGCGGGCTGCTGAGAAAGCCGGTGAGACCCCACTGCCCACACCAGGGGAGGGGGACCCCAGGGGGTCAGGGGGGTCACGGGGAGGAGGGGCCCCCAGGGCACAGCGGGGGAGGGTCATGGGGCAGAGGGGCCCCAGGGGTCAGCAGGGGAGGGTCATGGGGAGGAGGGGCCCCAGGGGTCCGCAGGGGAGGATCATGGGGAGGAGGGGCCCCAGGGGTCCGCAGGGGAGGGTCATGGGGAGGAGGGGCCCCAGGGGTCCGCAGGGGAGGATCATGGGGAGGAGGGGCCCCAGGGGTCCGCAGGGGAGGGTCATGGGGAGGAGGGGCCCCAGGGGTCCGCAGGGGAGGGTCATGGGGAGGAGGGGCCCCAGGGGTCAGCAGGGGAGGGTCATGGGGAGGAGGGGCCCCAGGGGTCCGCAGGGGGGCGTCGCCGGGCCTGTGTGCCGGGGTCCTCAGCTGCCTGTCCCTCCCTGCGCAGCGCCCGAGATCTTCCAGTCCTTCGTCAGCGGTGGCAGCGGCTATTCCTTTGAGGTGGACTGGTGGTCGGTGGGGGTGCTGGCCTACGAGCTGCTGCGAGGATGGGTACGGAGCTCCCGGGCCGGGGGCTGGCCCGCACCTGAGCCGGCTGTGTCCCCAGGGTGCCCGTGGGGTGGCCGGGAAGGAGGAGGCCGCCCCACCCACTGGGTGCTTGGGGACAGCCCCGCACTCCGCACTCCTGGATGCGCACTTCGGGGCGTCGGCGGGGGCGGGGGGGGCGGGCTGAGCAGGTCGGGAGGGAAGCCGCCGCGGGCTCTGGGGCATCCGGAGCAGAGAGCGGAGAAGTGACCTTCCTGTGGGGTCCCCGCGGGGGGCCCCGCGTTCCCACCCCAGAGGCCACAGCCCGGCCCTCCCTCCGCATCCCTCCTGGGGGGCACCCTCAGCCCCTCCTCGGGGGAAGGTGCTTCCTTCCCGGCCACACGGGCCGCGTCTTCTGGCCAGTTCCCGGCCTCCAGCAGGCAGGGCCCAGGCCCGGGCTCTTCCGGGGAGCTGTGCGTGGGGCGGGGGGCGGGTGCCTCCGGGTGTGGGGCTGAGGCACCCGGTGCAGCGCTGCCTCCCCCGCCCCAGAGGCCCTACGACATCCACTCCAGCAACGCCGTGGAGTCCCTGGTGCAGCTGTTCAGCACGGTGAGCGTCCAGTACGTCCCCACCTGGTCCAAGGAGATGGTGGCCCTGCTGCGGAAGGTGAGCCCCTCACCCCCCGTGCGAGGAAGGCCTCTGGGCCCTGCGCTGTGTGTCCGTGTCCCCCCGACGGGGCTCACAGCCCGTCTGGCCACGGCCTCTCTGGCAGGCGGTGCCCCGGCTGCTCCAAGCTCTGGCTGTGAGCTGAAGCCACGTGGCCCTGGGCTAACCGAATCCCCACGGTCAGCCCCCCACGCCACAGATGCCCAAACCTGGGCGCCCCGGGGTGGGGGCGGGGGCTGTGGGCTGGCAGCCCGGCCTCCGCTCACTCTGGCCTCCTCTACCCCATCCTTCTGTCTGAGTCGGGCGGCCACCAGGCCTGGGGGGGGCTCGGAGAAGACCCCAGCCCCCGCCCCCGCCTCCCACTGCCCGAGCACGTGGCTGCAGCGGCCGGGGGTGGGGGGGGCAGCCTGGCGGGGACGGGACCAGCTCTTGCTACCAGCGCACCTCCATCGGGGCCCGACCGGGCTGGCCCCACCGCTCCCCACTCAGAGACCCCCACTTGGTGCACTGGGGTCTCCGGGGTCAGGAGCCTGCTGAGCGCTCTAGGCCAGGCTGGCTCCCGGCTCCAGGCCCACAGGGCCCTCCCCCGCGTGTCCTCACCCCTGCTGGAGGCCTTTGTCCCTGGAGCCGTAGCCAAGCAGCTAACGGCCTGTCCCAGTCCCTGGGCGGCTCCGGGCCCAGTGTCCATGATGGAGCAACCCCCCAGTGGGGCTGTGGCCTCCGGACGCCCGGACGGGGAGTGGGGACCGTCCATGCGCCAGGACTCAGGCCCTGGGCAAGCCTCGGAGAGGGTCTGCTGCCTTCTGGCTAAGAGGAGGGACGGCACCCGGCGGGGGGGGGGGAGAGGACACCCAGCCTCCATGACCCGGTCACACAGGGCGCCCTGGGGGTCCCCAGAGGCTGAGCCCAGGGGGTAAGTCCCGGGCCCTCCCTGCCGCTGGCCAGGCCGAGGCTCAGCAGCCCGTCCCTGGGGCCCCACGTGCCCTCCAGGCCCAGGCAGACCCGTCAGACCAGGCCGCCCCCTTGGCCTCATTACGGCACGATTGAGGTCGGCGCCCCCTTTCCTTGCCTGGTCCTTGAGGTCCTCCTAGCGGGACCTCGCTGGGGTCCCTGGCGGGGGCAGGTGGCCAGCCCAGTGCAGCATGGTCACGCCGGCCCGGGCGCCGTCTGACAGGGGCCTCGTTTCAGCTCCTCACGGTGGATCCCAAGCACCGGGTGTCCAGCCTGCAGGACATGCAGGCGGCCCCGTCACTGGCCGGCGTGCTGTGGCAGGATCTGAGCGAGAAAAAGGTGACGCCAGGCTTCGTGCCCAACGTAAGCCTGGCAGGCGGCGGGCGGCGGCTGTGGGGGTCATGGGGCGACCCGCGGGCGGGGCTCAGCTCCCTGTCCCCCCTCCAGAAAGGCCGCCTCCACTGCGACCCCACCTTCGAGCTGGAGGAGATGATCCTGGAGTCCAGGCCCCTGCACAAGAAGAAGAAGCGGCTGGCCAAGAACAGGTCCCGGGACAGCAGCAGGGACAGCTCTCAGTCCGTGAGTGGGCGGCCTGCGTGGCGTCTCCTCCCCTGACCCCCCGTCAGGCCCCGAGCTCCCTTCTCCCAAGCGGGAGGAAGTCCCTCTGCTGCCCCCGGGCCTGGGGACGCCTCACGAGGTCACGTGCGGGGTCACATGCACACTCCTGTGTGCCTCCTCTTGCAGGGTCGCCTCTTGCGGGGACCCAGGGGGGACCCTCTGTTAGCCCGACTCTGTGTCCTAGGCCTGGGAGTTAGGATGCCAGCTGGGGAGACACGGTGTCATGGTGTCCGCGACCCCTCTCCAGGTCGCACGGTGTCTCCTGGGCGGGTGGGGGCGCCCCTGGGGAGGTCTCATGAGCATGAGATCAACCCTGCACCTGTCCCCCGGGTACACCTGTCGCAGAAGCGCCTGGGGGTGCAGGTGTGGGGGTCACAGCCGTGGCACTGAGAGTGATGGGTGCCCCCCAGGCCCGTCTGAGCCCCAGTGCCTGCTCCCTGGTACCGGCGTCAGGCAGGAGCTGGGCACCCCCCCATGTGCTGCGGGTGCAGGTTTGGGGCCTCCCCGCGGACCTGGATTCTGGGGCGCAGCATGGGTGGAGCTGCAGGTGCAGCCCCCCCACTTCCAGTTTGGGGCCTGGGCGCTGGGCGGTGGGGTGAGCGCCGCGCCCGCCCCTGCTCTGGCCTCCGCGGTGCTGAGACCCTGTGCGTTCCCGAGACAAGCGCCCGTCGGGGAGGGTCGCCGTGGGTCTGCTCTCCTCTCCTCCGGGACGCGCGGTGTGTGGGGCGTGGGCCCCGATGACGTGCAGCCCGTGTCCACTCCGCTCCTCGCGCTCGGGCTTCCCGCGTCTTCCCGGGAGGCCAGCGCCCGACCCAGGGCCTCCGAGGTTTACTTCCGTGTCTCTTCCAAGCGTCGCCGTCTCCCTGAGTTGACTGTAGCGGCAGCGTGAGCTCGGGTCCAGGCCCTGTGCAGCCCCGGACGCGCTCGCGCACTGTGTGTCGGGACGATGGCTCTTCTCGCAGCGGAGGCTTGGCGTCGTCTTCAACACTTAATCGGCCGAAACTAAGGGCTTATTCGTGTCCCCGTCTGTCCGTCTGTCCTCGGGCTAGCGCAGCCGGTCCCGACGCCCGGTGCCGTGTGCGAAGTGCCGTGATCAGGCCCCGAGAGCCCTGCACCCCGGCGCCCTTCAGGCTGCTTGGCGGCCCTGGGCCCTGGCCCTCGGGGGAGCCCCGAGTCTGGGAAGTGGCCGTGGGCCGCTCAGCGGGTGTGTTCCTGGCAGCGCTGGGGCGGAGCCTGGCTCGGTCGCCGTCGCCCTGGGGTCCCCCGGGGTCCAATGCCCCAAGGGCCAGCCTTGCCGATGAAGGTCCCGCAGTTGTCTGGGGGGAGGTGAGGATTCATCCAAAGGGATTATTCAGGGAATACGTGGGGTGGGGGGCGTCAGGGGGAGTCCCGTGGGCGGTGGCCTCAGCCCCACCCCGCAGGGACCCAGGCGTGTCAGCACCTCCTCCAGGAAGCCAGCGTCCACCTCCCGCCCCCAACAGCCACCAGCTAAGGGCCGGGGGGGGGGCACGTGGGTTTTCGGGGCCTCCGTGTGCATGTGTTGGCCAAGGGCTGAGTGGTGCCGGTGCGGGCGTCGGAAGGGGCGCACCCCGGGGCCGGACGGACACACAGACGCGCACCTCGCAGCCGGGAGCGTGGGCGCCTGAGCGCGTGTTCCCCGCAGGAAGGCCGGCGATGCTCAGACACGGGCGTGGCCCAGAAGCCCGTCTGTGCGGCGGCGGCTCCTCCGGGCGGCCACGGAGACGACAGCGCCGCGCACGCCAGCCCACCTTGCGTCTTCCGCGGGCGCCGACCCGCCGGGTGAGGGGCTTCTGGGAGGGCCCCGGGAGAGCAAGCGGAGCCCACAGGGCCGGGCACAGTTAACCGGGTCCCCCACCGTGGACGCGCGTCCCCGGGACATCCAGAGGACGTGCCACGTCCCGCCTGCCACGTCTTGTTAGCATCACGCCGCCAGGATGGCGCACGACCCCCGATGTCCAGCCCATCAAGGCTTTCTGGCTCCGTCGTGACAGGGAAGGGGCGGGTGAGGGCGACCCGGGGCCACGGCCACGGAAACGCCGCCGTCCACCCGGGGTGAGCGCAGACCGGTCCTCGTCCTCCCGGGGACATGGAGGGGCCGCCCCTGTGGAACCAGAGCTCCGCGCGGCCTGTGCCCCGAAGGCCTCTGGCTCTGCCTGCGCCTGGAGCTGCTGCTGGGCTCCGTGTGCCGGGTCCCCACCGCCCGCCACGAGCCCCGGGCCGGAGTGAGGTCACGGGGAGCAGCGTCCCTGCGCCCTCAGTGTGGATGGTGGCACTTGTCACTGCCGTCCCACTCCTGGGGCAGGTTTGTGTTTTATTTAGGATCCAGGCTGCTTTGTTGGGAGGGGCTGCGGTTTCAGAGCTTCTCTGCCTTTTCCACTGTAACAGCTGTCCCCGTGGGCCCGGGGACGGCACGGGGCCTCTGCTGCACGTGACTGCACCATGACCATGCCCTGAGCGCTGGCAGCGGGGCACAAGAGCTGCCGGGTGGGGCTGCGGATGCCCCCCCACTGTAGGGCAGGCGTGGCCAGGCATGGGTGCAGGCCCTGGATCCACAGGCCTAAGGCCGGGCGTCCCCGTCCCCCAGGTGTGCCAGGGGAGGGCTGGGACTTCCCAGCAGGGAGGCTGGTGACAGCCTCTGCCCCTGTGCCTGGGCCTCACCGGTGTGTGCCCCGTGCCCAGGCCGTGCACCGCTGTGGCCCCATCAGACATCACTAGACCCCGGGGCGCGGGGTGACCTGCTTGTCACTGCAGCCCTGCTGCCCGTGGTGGTGGTTCCTCCCGCCCGGTCGGGTCCAGGCTTAGGCCGTTCCGGCCTGTGGTCGTCGCCGTGGACGCCCCGGCGCGCAGTCCCCCTGCAGATAACGGGCAGCGCTGGGCTGCTCATGGCGCCCGCCCCCGCCAGCTCGTCCCCTAGCGCCTCGCAGACAGGGGTGTCCCTTGGGTCCTCCCGGAGAACGCCGTCACCCGAGGGGCCCGAGGTTCTTTGACCTCGTTCCAGCTGCCAGCTTGTCTTGAGACTGAGCCCCCCCAGCATTCGTCCCCCGCTGCTCTGGAATCTTGGCCGGGCCACGTCCTCCACGGCCTGGGAGCCACCCTGCCGCACGGTGGACCCCTCCCTGGCCAGGGAACGAGCTCCCGGTCACGGTCACGTGGGGCCGCGTGCTCCGCCTCTCCCCTCGCCCCCGCCTGTCCCCCTGCAGCAGGTGGAGCCTTTGTGACCTCAGCAGGTCGCGCACAGCCGGGGCCCCGTGCTGCTGGTGACCGGTACCGATCGGAGGCCAGAGGGCGGGTACAGGCCGACGTCAGGGAGCCGCTCTGTGCCACCTGCAGCAGCCCCGAGCGCGCACTGCTCTCCTCTCATGGGCAGGGCCCTCCTGCAGGCGGGAAGGGGCAAGCACGTGGCAGGGCTCCTGTGCCCACGTGTGTCCCCCCAGAGGCCGTCCCAGGTTCCGGGGTCCAGCTCCCTGCCCCCCACAGCCTTGGCTGTGGAGTGCGGATGGGAGGGAGCCAAGCCACGTGCGGTCTCCGGCCACATTTTGTCCTGCAGACACGGCCCCCGGGTCAGCGTCCGCCCTGAGCAGGGGCTGGGCTTCCATGCGGGCGTCCCCTGGCCCCTGGCTAAGGCCCAGCCAGGAGGTGCGAGCCCCAGGCCCTGTTTGCCTGGGCAGTGTCTCCAGCCCAAAGGCAGGTCTCCAAAGAAAACCACAGGTGCAGGCGACGGGGTGCAGGAGGCTCAGGCCCCCACCTGAGGGATGCGAGGGGGCCCCAGAGCATCCACTTCGCTCATTGGTATGTTTTTCTGACTAACAGGAGAATGACTACCTTCAGGACTGCCTTGATGCAATCCAGCAAGACTTTGTGATTTTTAACAGAGAAAAGTGAGTGTGTGTTGGGGGGTGGGCAGCAGGGCCCGGCGGGGTGGGGGGGCTCTCTGGGCCACGCTAGTCCTGACCCCCGCAGCCATGAGGCATCAGGGGCCCGGGAAGCGGATGCCCACCCCCGGGGCATTGGAGCAGCAGCCCTGCGGGCAGGGGGTGGGCGGCCCTGGTACAGCCTGTGGGGGGCTCTGTGGGGAGGCACTGAGTGACTGCCCAGACGGGGTGACGGTGGGCGGCCCTGCAGAGTCCCATGGGCGGCCACCCTCACGCCCCTGAGGACCTTCATTGAGTGCTGGGGACCGTGGGCTCGGCTGGTGGCTAAGACACCTGCTGCACGGGGGCAGGCCCAGCGTGGGGGGCCCAGGAGGGGAGAGCAGGTGAGGTGGAGGGCTTCCTGGAGGAGGCAGCTCTGAGCCCGGCCCACAGGCAGTGGGCAGTGGTTTAAGGCCCGGGCTTCCACGCTGGAGGCCAGCGGCGTGGGCGGGACAGACTCGTCAAGGACTTGCGCTTGAGCGAGGCGTCCTCAGCAGCCCCCGCTCTGGCCCGAGTGGTCACCCCGGTCACTCTGCTCCCTGTGGTGCCTGGAGGGGCACGAGGGGCAGCCCTGCCCCCGGACACGGGGCGGCCAGCACGCCCTGCGGCTGCTGCTGCGGCTGCAGGAGGCCCCCTTGTCTCCCCGCGCAGGCTGAAGAGGAGCCAGGACCCCGCCAGCGAGCCCCTGCCCGCCCCCGAGGCCGCGGACGCTGCCGACGACGCGCTGCCCGTGTGCGGCTCCATCTGCCCCTCCCGCCTCACCGAGACTTAACTCCGGTCGCGCTGGGGACTCAGTCCGCCCGGAGGACGGAGGACGGGCGGGGGCGGCGGGCAGAGGCCAGCGTGGACGTGCCCAGCCAGGCAGCCCGGCTCCTCCCGGCACAGGCCTGGCTGGTGGCCCCGCGCTCCCTGGCCGTCCTCACGGGGACGGGCCACTGCGAGCTGCCCGCTGGCCCTCGGGGCGGACGGCCACCGGGGGCGGTCGGTGCGGCCGAGGACGGTGGGCCAGGGGCTGGGGGCGCCTCCCCCGGCTGCTCGGTTCCTGTGGTGGCCGGAGGCCTGTGGCTCCCGGTGGCCCTGACCCGCTGCCGGCGGCCGGACGTCGTGCGCTGGCTGCCCACGGCCCACTTGGGCTTGTACATTGGGGGGAAATGGAGTGTTTTTATAGATCCACACTGTTCCGGCGACTTCCGTGTTTCTGTAGATTTCTCACCTCTGAGCATCACGACATAAGAGCTGCTCGGTGTCCCGTGTCGTGTGTGCCGTGTGTCCGCAGCGGCTGTGTAGATGCTGCCGGGGGGTGTACGGCGTCTGTCCCGCGGCTGCAGTGGGGGCGCCCTGAGGGGGTGGAGCCTGCCGGACCTGGACCTGGACCCGAGGCGCAGGCCGTGTGAGGACGAGCAGCCCCCCACCCCACTGGCTGCGGGCGGGCCAGGAGGACCCCAGCCCCACGAGGTCACGCGGGGACGCAGGGCCCAGAGCCGGGCAGCAGCGGGACGCCCCATGCGGGGTTCCAAACTACCAAGGACGTCCTAGGTGGGGCCCCCGTGATGTCAGAGACAGGAACAGGGGAGGAGGTGTTGGGTTTGTTAAAACGTGTACGTCCCGGGCACCTCGGTGGCTCAATCGGTTCACCGTCCGCCTCGATCTCAGTTCGGGTTCTGCTCTCACGGTTCTGAGTTCAAGCCATAAACCCCAGGGGACGGCCCGCCTGTTTCCTGCGTTGGTGGCAGGAGGGTGGGTGTGGCCTGGCTCGTGACCTCCTGTCTCCCCGGGGCCTGACACTGTCCCTGGCGGGGCCCCAGAACCCTGGGTGCGAGGCCACGATGACCAAAGGAATCTGGGCCAGAAGGACACGGGGCCCACCAGGCTGGACCTTCTCCAGGGGCCGCCCTGCACCCAGGCAGCTTCTCCAGGGCCCAGATTCCAGGCTGGGGCTGTTTTAGTCCCCGCAGAGGACCCGCCACTCGGGGCGGACGTCTGCGCAGGTGCTGGAGCCCCGGGCAGTGCAAGGTGTGGGGCCGTCCACTCGCCTTCAGTGACCATCAACGCCCTGCTCTTGGGGACACACGCCCTTCTGGGCACCTCCCACCCCTGGGGGCACAACTGGCACCACTTCCACGAAGCAGGTGGGGCCTGGCCAGCCCGGCAGTTCCTTCTGGGCCAAAACCCTGGGCTGCTCCGCCTTGAGGGTGCAGGGCCGTGGCTCGCATGTGTGGGTGGGGCCCCTGCAGCCCCAGCCTCGCCTCTGACCCTCTGGCCGGGGTCACCCCAGCAGCCCCGTGGCTGTGTCTGGCCGGCTGGCCTGGCCTCGGGAACATTCCCAGGGCCCCTGCGTCTGCCCTGCCCGGAGCCGGACCCGGGCCCTCCCTGGGGGGCCAGCCGCGCAGCCAGCCCCGGTGTTCCCGAGGTCACTGAGCCCCCCAAAGTGTCCCCCGCGCATCAACCCCTGGTGAGAAGGCGGTGCAGGGGCGGAGAAGTCAGGGGCCACAGGCCAGCGGCTTCTAACCCAGACGCCTTTAATTGCCCCGACTCGGGCCGCCGCGCTGTGGGTGGCATGCAGGTTCCTGGCTACAGGTGTCCTCGTGCACCAACTGCTGCTCTAGTCAACTACCGGGGCGCGGCCTAGTAGAGGAGGCATCTCCGCTAAAGGATCCTAAGGCTCCCCCGGACGCGGGCTACTCGGGAGTGGGAGTCTGGTCCTCGGCAAACGGACAAACGAGGCCGCCTTTCGCTAAGTTCCGAGGGTCCCTGACGTCACAGCGGCTCTGGGGCAGGGGCCAGCTCCCGGGGGTTCCCCACGCTGGGCGGACGGGGGTGGTGACCACCGCGGGGAGGGGCGGCCCGGCCTGCTGCACACCCGGTCCTCTGGGCCCTGGCCGGGCGGCCGCCCTGCCGACCTGCAGCCCCGGGCTGTCCTGAGAGCCGCCGGGTGACCCGCCACCGCGTCCAGCCTCCTCAGCCTGGCAGTGACACCCCTCTCGCTGCACGGGCTCCTCCTACAGGACCGGGGACCCCAAAACGGGGGGCTCGGGGGGGGGAGGGAGGCCAAGCACCTTTCAGGTAAGTGTGACAGAGGGAGAGCTCCGTGAGGAGCGGGATCCCCCGCAGCCGCTGCCCCGAGCCCCACGGGGCCCCTAAGACAGAGACGTGATGTTGGAGCGTCCGCCGGGGGGGGCCATGATCTTCTGGGCCGTGCGCCGGGCAATGTGGTCGTCGGCCTGGGACCCTGTGAGGAGGACGCGGACGTGCTGGCTACACCCGCAGAGCCCCCCGTGCCCCCCAACCCGCGTCGGCCCGGCGCAGGGACGAGGCTGCCCCAGAAGAGCAGTGGGGGCCAGGCTGCTCCTCCCACCCGCGGGTCCCGGCACATGACCAGAGAAGGCTGCCCCCCTTGTAAGAGGACCCTGGCTTTCAAGGGGACCGGCTCTGGGCCTGGGTGTCCCGGGGGCGAGCAGGGACTCTGTCACCGGGATGGGGAGGCCGGGCCGTCGGGTGCGGGAAGCGGGCCTGGCCCTGGATCACAGGAGGGCCGGTCACAGCGGGCTGAAGCGCAGCCAGGTCCCAGAGCAGAGGCCCAGCAGCCACCTGAGCCCCCCAGGCCGTCCCCGGGCTCACAGACCCCTCGATGACGCGCCTCACCTGCAATTCTAGGGCTGGAGGGGCTCCCCACAGAGGCACCCACCCCGTACCCGGGGCTCAGCGTTTCTGATGGAAGGTGGCGTCACTGCGGCCTCGCTGGGGCAGACGCTGGGGTTGGACGGGGTCTCCCCACTGGCCCACACCCTGGGCCCCGCCCCGAGTCCCCACACCGCCCGCCCGCGGGGGCCCTGGTACCTGTGAGCCCAGGGGAGCCCCCACCGGCCCCACTCACCAGACAGGCTGAACCCCGACCGGTGCAGGTTGCGCACGGGGGGCACCGAGACCTTCCCCGGGCAGGACGCGCGGGCCTGGGCACTGCCACCCGGCTTGGCAGGCAGCATCACCTCGTGGACGGGCCCGTCGTAGAGGCCGCGGGGCACGCCGTGGATCTCCGCCAGCTGCGGGCCGAGGGGTTGGGCGTGAGGGGGACCGGGCTCCCCCCAGGGGCACCTGCGCGTGCCAACACCCCCCACCTACAGTGTGTGCTCACACGTGCGCAGCAGACGGGGCCGACCCGGCGAGAGGCCTCGCGAGCACGACCAGGCCCAAGAACGGCAGCCTCCGCCGCCTGCCTCAGGCTCACCCGGTTGCGCGCCTTTATCCTCTTGTAGACGAAGTCGGGGAACGTCTTCCGGGGGATGAAGCGGCCGGTCCCCGGGGTGACGAACATGTTCCCGTCCTCCAGCACAACCCTGCCCTGGCTTATGACCACCGTGGGCGCTCCTCGGCACTCGAGGCCTTCAAAGATGTTGTATTCCACGTTCTGGGGAGACAGGGCGCAGGGCCTGGCACCGTGACGCCGAGCCCGTCGCCCCTCAGCCCATGGCAGGCCGCCCGGCCTCGGAGGCCTGTTCTAGGACCTCCGGCCAGAACTGGTCGCCTCGGCGGGGCCGGAATTCAGAAGGAAGTGGCCACAGCCCGCGGTGCGGGTCCCTGAGCCCTGGTGCTCTGGACCGAGGGCACTCGGATGAGCCCCTACCAGGGCAGAGTGTCCCGCGAGGCGGGGCAGGTGTGCGGCAGGTGTGCGGCGCACGTCCCTAGGGCTCCCGCGCGCTGACCCTGACCCTGACTTAGGGACCAGGCGTCTCTTACCAGATTGTGAGTCTTGGCGGAGATGATTTTCGTGGCCTTGGGGTTCCAAATAACCAGGTCAGCATCGGAACCCACAGCCACGCGCCCCTTCCTCGGGTACACGTTGAAGATTTTGGCTGCGTTTGTACTGGTCACAGCCACAAACTCGTTCTCGTCCATCTTCCCTGAGGCCTGGGAAGCAAGACAGCCAAGCTGATGGGGGCGGGCAGCGCTCGTCCTGACGACCCCCGGGGGCCGGGCTCCAGGCTTCTGTGTGGACAGCGGCCCACGTCCCCCTCGCAGCAAGAACCGCGCGCCCACGAGGGCGCCACTGCCTGGGAACCCAGGGGCCCTCTCAGGCGAGCTTGTGGGCGAGTCGGTCAGCGCTGACATTTTGACGGTGCTGGTGTCCCCTGAAGGACGGGACGGTCCCCCCGGGGGACCCGGGGCCAGGGCTGGAGTTTGGGGGTGCGGGCAGCCTGGGAAATCTCCGGTGTTTCGGGGAGCCTAGGGGACACAGGGGCCCCACCCCCGGGTGCCTCCTGCAGGTGACGGGAATCGGGGGAGGGCCGGGGCCTCCTCCAGGGGCACCAGGACCCAACGTCTGGGGAGCCCTGGATGGCAGGGCTGGGGGAGCCACGCCCGGGGCCACACGCGCTGCCCTCTGTCCCACGTGTCTGCTGGTCAAGCGGCCTCCCCTGCCGGCTCCCACGCTGCTCACCACACATTTCTCCCAGACCACAGACATGCGCTCCTCGATGCCGTTCGTGCCCTCGGGGATGAGCGTGAAGTTGTCCTTGCCCACGGCCTTCTGGGCAGTGGTGAAGGTGCAGTGGGCACTGCCGGTCACCTGCAGGTCCCCGCTGAGAGAAGCCAGGGTCAGACGAGCGCACGGTGGCCTGACTCTCCGGAGCCAGCAGAGGCCGGTCGGCTTTGTCCCCCCGCCCCCCCGCAGGCCAGCACAGCCTCCGGGTGGGGGAGTCCAGGAGGGCAGCGCGGCCGCCTCGGTGTGGGGCACGGGGAGGGGCCGGTGCAGCAGGGGCTCTGCCCGGGAGGCCCTGGGCCTGGGTTTGCACAGAGGCCGGGGCTGCCCGCAGGGGAGCTCATGGGCCAGGGCGGGGGCGCCGGGGGCGCCGGGGACGGCTCCTACCTGGACAGCAGGGAGGTGAGGTGGTCGGCAGTGCTGGGGTCCGGGCTGACCGGGGGGGACGTGACGAAGGCCGCGGCCTTCGCCCAGTTCTTGCTCCAGTAGTGGGAGCCGTTGCTGCCCAGGCTGGCGGTGATGGGCTCCCCGAACACCACTACCCCTGCAGGGAGACGTGAGAGGCTCCCCCAAGCCGCCTGCCTGCCCCCCAGAACCCGGGGGTGGGGACCCCCAGCCGCCCCGCACGTTCCCGACCCTGGACAGCCTGTCTCCAGCTTCCGGGGCGTCTGGACCTCCCCAGGTGGGGGGCCCTCTGCAGACCCCGGTCCCTCACATGGCTGCCGGAGGTCAGGCCTGCTGGGGACGCAGCCAGGCCGTGGC